GAAGCGCGGCCTGGCTTGCCTTTGCCTTCGCACTCTCTTCACGAGCCCGTCCTTTCTCCCCAGGAAGCGTGCCATCCTTGGTTGCTGGTCTTTTGGCTGGAGGCTTGGCTGGCTATGGAGCTTACCGGGTATCCAACGACAGACGAGATGTGAAGGTGTCGCTGTGTAAGTCACACGTCTTCCCCACCTAGGGACAGTGGAGCCTTGAGAAACTGTGTTGCCAGGCGTCAGCCGGCCAGGGGCACCGTGCTACTCAGAGTAGAGCACTGTTTCCGTGCACCGCACCTCAAGGTTCTATAAAACTTGTTACTGGAAAAATGAAATTAGATTAGAAAAAGCAAGGAATTATTCTTTCATTTCTGTTCATTTCTATAAATGTATAGTTAGCATAGTTTTTACATCGTTAGGAAAAGACTATATCTAAAGAGAGAGTCCTGCGCTGTGGTCCCATCACAGTCGCCTTCTGACATCTACTTTGCCTGAAGACACCTGACAAGAGCAAGCCTCGCCCGCTTAGCCATCCCCTTGTGCTCGCGGGAGACAAGGGTGGGGACCTGCTGTTTAAACCCCCAGACACACGCTCTTTGTCTAGCTGGAAATGAGATGTAGTCATTTAATTCTTTTTCAAAATCATATTGTGAGATATCGGGAAAATATATGTGAGCACAAAATTTGTGTCAGTTTTGTATCTGAGGAGAGAAAGTGATCTGGTAGCTTTTTCCTCCCTTGTTTTACTCCTGTGTTTTAAATCCAGGTTAGGACTATTTTCATTGAGACTCTGTCAGAAGATAAGCCCTACTGGCGAGATAGAAATACCTTGAACTCCATGCATGTCGTAGCATTCATGTGTATTGATGTAGTTCGTGTGAGCCTATGATCTGTGGTATTATTTTTTATGTCAGTCAATGGTTTTTCTTTGAAGACTGTTACGTTTTAGTTGTTCTTAATGCAGAGACGTAGTACCCAACACCCACGATTTCAAGAAGGAAGGGCTTACTTTGGTTCACAGCACGTCGAGGCCCAGTCCCTAGCTGGCTGGTTCCATAGCAGGGCACTGAGGCAGAGGAGAATTCCTCAGGACATGGCGGCAGGAAGCAGAGAGGGCTCTCGGGAGGTGGGAGGGAGGCCTGCCCCCTGCACGCTGGCTTTGCGTCCCAATCACTGAACATGCCCCGCCTCGGAGCGCATCAGATGTTCTTACAGTGGCACTGGTGCCTGAGGTCACGGTGGTGAGCCTATGCATGCGAGCTGCTTGCTTTTCTTCTAAGACAAAAGATGTTAATGTGAGTTGTGTTTTCTAAGCTAAAACCTCAGCCTCAGCTTGACTCGCAGGGCTGACCCCTTGTGGTCCTGCCTGGGTTGGGGTTGCAGCGGGGCACTCACTCGCCTCCGAGTTTCCGCATGGCTGCCCTGATCTTGGATAAAACCACGGCACAGTCCTGGGGGTGCGGCTCGCGGAAGGTAACGCACTACTTCTGAGTAACATATTCTTCATCTCCAGACATCAGTTCCTCAGAGTGGAATGTTGCAAAGAAAACACAGCCTTCTTGATACTAGCTTATAATCTGATCTTTTTAAAGAGATGTCACTTTAGTTATAGTAAGTTACCTCTTTCTTTTTGTGCTACTACAATTGAATCAAGGACTTTTTTATTTAGAGACAGGTTTTTTTTGGTCATAATAGTAGCAAAGTTTTATTAAAGATAAGGAAAGCAACAGCCTGTGCAGAGCAAGCTGGGCCACATAAAAGCAGGAAAAGACACGCACCTACAGCACGAGGACGGCCACCGTGCCAGAGAGAGTACAGTGACCAAGGCGCAAATGCAAGGCCTTGTTGCTCTGGCTTCCCAGCGCGCCGGGTTGGAGCCTGGGCCTCTGCACCCGCCTCACCGCTGCGTGGCTGTCTCCGGCCCGGGGGCACCGCCTGGTGTTTGTGAGGGAAGTTAAATGAGACGTGGTCTAGGCTGCCAGCGGTCTCCTCTGAGCAGAAATCAGGGATTGGCAAAAGACTTCTGAAGGTATTGCAGGAATGAATTTCAGCATGTTTGTTTTCTTAGAAACTTTAACAGGCTAGTTTACAAACTGTTCCATTGTAATTCCTGATTTCTTCAAGAAAGCCGCCACTCAGTGCTGTCTGCAAGAGTTAGGCCGAAGCTTCGCCGTGGTGCGCATTCATTTCCCGAGGAGGGAGGGAAACCTGTTTGCAGCTTTGGTTCACAGCCTGGCTTGGCTTTCAGTTACAGCTTTCGTCCTGGCCACCGTGATGGGCGTGAGGTTTAAGAGATCCAAGAAGATCATGCCTGCCGGGCTGGTGGCAGGACTAAGGTAAGAGGAGCTCTGGATCTTCACTCTTCTTCCATCAGCGTAAAGTTTTGATTTTTATATCAAAACTCAGTTGCAATTTGAAAGGTCAAAGCAAGTTTGTATTATAACATGCATGGCTGGAAAGACTCGTATCAGCGATCACACTGCCTCTGTGTGTGGCAGCCTAGAGGGATGGACGTGGCCTCGCTGCGGCGCAGGACTGCCTGCCCACACTTACCTGATGCAGGGTAGGAGCTGCGTCTGGCCTCATGGTCCCTTACGCCAGCTCACCTGGAGGAATAAATATGGTCAGAAATCTCATTTAGAGAGCTGGACAGTGACAGTCTGATGCAATTATTTTGAATATTTAAGGGAAAAAATGTAATATGTTTTCAAAAGATAAATAGCCTCAGCATTCTCTTAATTTGACCCAGTTATTCTACCAGTGAGATGAAGTATATTATCAAATTCAGAGTTGGAGCCATTTGTAACTATTCCTGGAAGCTGCCTGTGTATATGGACAGCCGTAAACTTGTTCGTTTTCTTTGATACTCATCTTTACTTTTGGGATTTGTTTCAAAGAAATGATACATACCTAAAGGCTGGTATTTGCTGCAGCTTTGTTTTTCATGGAAAGCATGAACCGAAAACTTAGCAGCACCCTAGAAATTCACTGTGAGGAAGAAGGTTAGTGAATGCTTCAATAAACGTTCAGTAAATGTTTTGTCCGTTTAATGAAATATTGAGAAGGTATTTCCATCCTGTGTTTTCAAAAAACATTTAGAGGTATTAGAGAATCTTAATCACATAATGATAAGTAAGGGCAACACTGAAATCTCCCAGATGCAGTATAAACAGCTTTAAAAAAAAAGTGTGTGCAGCGCAGGCAGGTGGCACCAGCCCTTGGGAGGCGGAGGCAGGAGGAGCGCTGCAAGCTCAAGGACAGTCGGGACTATGGAGGGAGACCCTCTCAAAAGAATGAATAAATAAATGAGTAAATAAATTAAAAATGTGTGTAAAACAAGATAAGAAGGAAATCCTTCATACTTAGTGATTTTTTCCTCTGGGTTGAGGCATAATGAATAATTTTAATGTTTTTCTGCCCTGTGGAACTTTTTAGCGTGGTTCTTTGTTATGTCTCTAGCAAAGGGAAACATGGTTACGAAATACAGCTTCTGCATTGCGGAGATGATGCGTGGCCTTAGGAAAGACTCGGAAGTATGGTTTACTGCCTGAGCAGTCCCCGGGCCGAGGACAGTAGCTTAAACTGTAATAACTACCTTCCTCTGAGCCACAGGTGTTCCTGGATGTTTGTTTATAACGGTTCTGAGACTTGCACCCAGGGCTTTGCATTGAGCTGCGTGTCCAGGACCCTCGCCACTGAAACATGTTCTGTTTGCAGTGAGTTCTCACCAGTCACTGAGTGTCCCGCCTGGGCTCAGGCTTGGGGTCCTTCTGCTGTCCTCTCCACATGCACCTGATTCCTGGCGTAGCCCACCACGCCCAGCTCCCTGATTGTTTTTTCAAGGTGCTTTACTTGGCAGGCTTTTGAGCGTTGGTGTTTCTTCCTGAACGTTCCTGTCTAAAGCCCCCAGTCCAGGGCTCCGGAATGTGGTCAGATTTTGCACATCCTTTCAGTTAAGCTTCTTCAGCTGGGTCCGGGCAGTGGGTGCACAGGGACGACGCGGTCACTCCTGCTGAGGGCGGGCGGGGGAGACTCGCAGAGACCGCACTGAGGATAGCTCGTCGTCCCGTGTGACCCTCCCTTGCCCTTCTGTGTTTGCATGCAGCCTCCTGATGATCCTAAGACTTGTCCTGCTGCTGCTCTGAGCACCCAGAGGCGCTGCACCCTCAGCTTGTCACCCGTGGCAACGGACGGGACCGGCAGAGCGTATTGTCTGTACCTTAGAAGATAAATTCCAATACAGAGTGTTAAATGTTTTATGTTTGAAACAAGGGGAACAGGAAATTTTTTTTGAAACAAAGAGCTCTAATTGTTTCTAATTGCCAAGCAGTGTTTTCATTAAAGATGTTTAATAAACCATGCTGCACTTTCACGTTCTGTGTCTGCTGTGTCTATCCATATGTCTAGCTACATATTATATCTTTGATAATTCCAGGTACTCGTGATGCAAGTACGTTGAACTGCAAATTATCTGATGAAAGAATTCCTTACATGAGCTTTACAGAATGCTAATGTGGCCGCTTGGTGGTTGTGTTAAATTAGACATTTTATTTTTCTATTTTAATTATGTCTGCTGCAGGTTTTGTCTTTCTTTTTTTAATTTTTTTTTTTCAGTTTTGTCTTTCTCTTTAGAGGAATTTCATGCTCAGCACCCTGTGCATCCCAATAGGATAGAGTCCGTGTTCAAATAAAAGACATTTTGTTTTATTTACACCTGTTTAATTTTGGTCTCTTCTTTATGGGCAAATCACTTCTGACATGTTGATGTTGAGTTATTACTGAAAGGAATTGGGAAAAGGGGTTGTTAGGGTGGTGCTCGGTGTGTTATGTGTATCTCTGGGATACTAATCTGGGAGGAAAAGATTTTGGCTCAGATCACTTCACTTTTAGGAGTAGTTATAACTTGGTGTGCAGGGCAGTTTTAGGCCCAGAATAAACACGAGGAGTCCTGAGACCCCATCTGGGTCTCGCACTGGCTCCTGTGTGGTTTGGAAGATCGATCCCACTCTCTGGGTCTTAGTTTCCCATCCTCTGGAGGGCTTTAAGAACTATAAGCAGGGCACCAGGTGTGGTGGCACATGCCCAGAACTCCAGCCTGTGCAGGCTGGCCAGGACGGTCGCCACAGGTGTGAGGCCAGCCTGGGCTGCACAGTGCACGCAAGCCCAGCATGCGCTGCACAGCAGCACCCTGTCCCCAAATGAAAACAAAAAACCCACTGCAAGAAAGGAAAAGAAAATGTTGCCCGTCCTAGCAATTCCGAAGAGATTGTCACCATGAGCTAGGCTGGGAGGGGACACCCAGAAGTGGGCGCCGTGTGCTCGAAGCTGCCTCAGGTGAGAAGACCTTCAGGTCCCAGCCAGCACCAACTTCTCTCAGGCTCCGGGTGCGACGTGGAAGCAGAGGCTAAGCGGGAAATGGATCATGGAAATATGTGCCATCTCTAGAGTTAAAGCTGTGCTGCATCGGGGACTTCCCCAAGAGGTGGTGGAAGTCATAATGATGCACATGGGTGTGGTTTTGTTTTTAAAAGAAATCCTTGATGCCCATGTGCTTCCTTGCGATCGACTCTTGCACTACTACTGTGGGTAGAACGCAGAAGAGCTCTCACCTGGGTGCTTTGATTCGCTGGTGTCAGAACGTCTTGTGAGAAATAGAGGTGTCTCTGACTTAGGGCGTGCTTGAGGGGAGCTGATTCCTTCAGGGGCTTACTCTTCATTGTTACGTAACGTGTCCTAAGGCTATTGTCCTGGGCCTTACTACAAACGTAGCATGAGGTATCTACTGAGTATCTTTAGGCCTTTCCATCTGGTAACGTTCAGCATTGTGGTGCTCGTGACTTCGAAAAACACAGTATATGTTCAGATGGACGTGTGTTCTCCGCATGCCCGTGGATTTTCCATCCAGTGGGGGCTTCCTCTGGCTTCCAGGCTGCAAAATGTGTTAATTTGGGGTATGTGGCTGGTGCTTACATTCCTGCAGTGCAGGATCCATGGAAGAGAGTGACGGCAGGATAAAGTGCAGATGGGGCATGTTCTTCCACATGAGGTAAATGCTTAAAATTTGAATCCGCAGTGCTGGTGGTGGTGGGGGGAAGTGTAACTGTCATATACACCATATAACATTACACACTGATACTTCCCTCTAGAAAGCATGTTGTAGTATTTCTCAACAACCACAAATAAAGTGATTCTATTTAAAGATTGTGTCTTAATGATATATTAAATATAGAAAAAATGTACCTATAAAGATACATAAATGTACCTATAAAGATAAAAGTGTACCTAGAAAGATAAACTACCTGCTACCATATAGTTTATAAAAGCAAACATTCCAAAGCATCATTGTGGGCAGTTAGGGAGAGTTCTCATTTTTCTTAGGCCATGCTTATTTTTTTAAATGTTATGTAATCCCTAAAAACATAACTAAATGGCTGCATAAAATTCTATACAATAGCTATATTCATGTTTATGGACACACATCTTACGTGTTAGAAATTTAAGTTTGTGATTTTTACTATTTAAGGCAAGTACAATAAATAGAATGTTATGTAATCATAAACATTTCTAAAGAAATACAGATGAGATTGGGTACCACTGAGGCAGACTCTAGCAGTAGAAAATGTTTATAATGTAACAAGAAATGGAAAATCGAGGCTGTAGGTTTATCAAAGCTCGTATGAATTTGAGCATAATTTTAAAAGATTGTAAAGAAATCCATTGATGTAGCAGTAGCACTTTAGTGTGGAGGCCTGATGTGTGGCAGACGGCGGTTCGATTGCCAGCCCTGTCACCTGCTAGCAGCGTGGAAGTTATTTAATCTCTGAGTCTTGCTTCTGTCTACTTGGAGAAAGGAACAACATACATGACATGAATTCATTTGGCTCTTAATAAAATGATGACGCCAGCTGAGCTTCAACAATGGACATGGCTATTGTTCAGTAATGTCTAGTTGGGGTGGTATTATCTGAAGTGTTTCCCATTCTTGTATCTAGAAGAAAGAAACAACTTTTATTTGGGTTCTACAACATTTCAGGCAAAGCTTTTAAGATGGAAGAGGTATGAGAAGTCTTTCAGTCCCCTGGGCTGGTCTTGTGCTGTGACCCAGTAGTGGCTGACACACTGTGTCAACTGGAGAAGTTAAAAACTCAACTAAATTCACAAGCAGTTCTACACCCTAGCTGTGGAAGTTCCTCCCGAGTGTGTGGAAGCCCCCACTCTAGAGTGACGCATCACTTAAAGGATATAGAAAGGAATTGAGGAAGGAGGGAGCATGCTGCTTCCTCGGCAGAGTTCTAGTCTTCTGTATTCGCAGTCAATGCAGAAAGAAGGGAGAGAGACTTGCTAGAAACTGCAGCTGTTACTCCTCCCTTTTGGCTCTTTGCTGTTTTCTGCTGCCATAGACTGCTGCCCTCTGCCATGTGCCACCTTACCTTGGAGCCAGCCGAGTATGAACTGAAGCCCCCACTAACTGAGCTAAAGAAAGCTTTTCTTCCTTAATTTTGGGTATTGGGTGTTTTGTCCAAGCAAAGTAACCAAGACAGACCCTCACTTGTTTTCCATGTAGTATTTTGTTGATTTACCACATGTGGTGGATTTACAACTGGTGGACAAATTGTGCCACCCAGCTGACCTGAACCAGTGCGGTGTTGGGTGTGGGACGCCTACCTGAGGGTTGATGCCTGCAGCATAAGAGACAGAACTGGAGTCATTTTTAACTGAATTTTGTGCTTTAACTGGGGGAAATTATTAGAAAAAAACCTTGTGCTTCCTGCTATCTACTCTAAGAAATGAGTTCTCACTCCTTGCTCAAGGCTGTTTAACAATGAATAACTGTTCCTTGTCGAGGGAGTGAGTTGAAGCAAACTCGCTCCCTAAGCATCTCCTATAAACATAGTCAGCTTAAGATGTATCTTATAAAAGTATGCGCTTATCACTAAACTATAAAAGACTCCTGAATTACAAACAGTTTGCATCTGTGTCAAATGAATGTAGTTTTCTGTCGTTCTGTGCTGGATAACAAATTTGCTTACTAAACTGGATGTGATTTCTGTCATAAATACCCCCCTGCCACCTATGTTCAGTTGTTGCTCAGGCTTCTGCATGACAGCTGACTGAGGACCCTGAGCTCAGTAATAAACAGCTCTAATCAAATTTTAATCTGGTCTTTGATCTGGTTCCTGTATTGAGTGACCCATAACATGGGGAAGAAGAGGAAAAAGCTGTAGGGAGCTCTTGATTCTTTGGAGGATCATGTCCTGTTGGCTTTCCTGATGAACCCAGCTGTTCTCATTGTCAAAGGATCTTGGGACCTGCTTGCCACGGAGAAGGGTTATTGTTCACTTTGGGGGTGCCCTGCCCTCACTTTGAGCATTGTGTCCTGGCTCCAGAGGGGAAGATGGTGCACTGCTCCGTCTTCTGAGGAAGCTTGTCTCATCGGCTTTCCTGATAGAAGCCTGGCTGTCCTCATTGCTGGAGGAGCTTGAAACCTCACTGTTGCTGAGCATGGCTGTGGTACTTTTTGGGGAGAGCTCTGATTCTTAGGAGTGTCACTTCCTGACTCCAGTGCAGTTACCTCAACCTGCTGACACAGATCCTCCATCCACCTGGCACAGGCTTCCTAGTTCTCACCCCACCCTCTGGGCCTTCCCAGTGCAAATCTGTGAGGCGGCCTGCATGAGACATTGTCATGGGCTCTGGGCCTCCACTGGACCTATGGGAGCATTGTTACGGACTCTAGGTCTTCAGCCGGACTGATGCAGGACATTGCTGTGGGATCCAGGTCCTCAGCTGGATTCTTTGATTTTTAGTGTGTGGACAGATTTCCTTCACTCTTTGTATATGATTCTTTGGGTGACTATTATAAAACAATCTTATAAAATATGTGACATGTATGATATTATTCCTCGTGCTGTACCCCAACTGCAGCACCACACTATATTAGAATTGCCTATATATTTGTTTCCAAGACTCAGGTATTTCTTGAGGGCATACTTGCATTTCTAGCTCAAGTCTTGGTGTAAAGAAGTTAGCAGATTCTTAAGTGATGATGAATGAAAGAACAAGTCAATAATAATTCTGCCATGCTGGGATTCCATTGGATCGCGAGGGGAAGCTGAGAGGCCCCTGGCTTTGCGCTCAGGCCATGCGGGGGCTTCAGAGAACTGCCCTGATGTTGATGTGCAGCTCAGCCGTGGCCCACAGAAACTGGCCATGACCTCACGCCTGCAGGCTGGTGAGCAGGGAGAGGGCAGGGGTAGAGCTGGTGCATGACTTAGAGCTGTTGATGGCCGGGAAGTCTTGCAGAAGTGGAGCAAACTGGTTCCCTCCTGCCTGGCTGTGTGATTGGAGCCAGTTCCCTCTCTTGGAGCTTCA